CCGGGCATGGTGGTGCATGCCTGTAGTCCCAGCTGCTCAGGAGGCTGAGGCAGGAGGATCGCTTGAGCCCAGGAGTTTGAGGTTGCTGTGAGCTAGGCTGACGCCATGGCACTCGCTCTAGCCAGGGCAATAGAGTGAGACTCTGTCTCAAAAAAAAAAAAATGAGTACCGAGAACATATTATGTCAAATGTCCCAATAAGACAACCCAGAGTGCATACCTCCCCCAAAATAGTGAAACTTCTCAACCTTAGCTTTAGAAATTCTTGCATAAAGCTTTCAAAATACAGAAAAGCTTCTGCACTATCCCTGGTGCTGCATTAGTAGAACCACGGTATAACCAGGCCATCTCAACTTTGAGAAACTCTAGAGGTAACTCTAAGGAACACCTAGAATTGACAACCACTGAGATAAAGGACAGTACAACCAGGTTCCATACTCTTAATCCATGTCATTACCTTCTTTGGGTACCATTTACATAAATTACTTCATCAAAGAGCATTCAGAACTTTTAAAAGAAAATTTTGCTCCCTTTATAAATCTCAAATCATTTTGAAAAGATTTAAGATTCTCTGCTTCGACAAAATATGTAGAAGAATGTACTAATCACAAAAATTAAAGTTCCCACGAGCTCCTTCTGTGGGGAAAAGTAGCAACCAAGGAAAGATTTTTATCCATTTATGGATATGAAGGGTAGCATCATATATTACACATACAGAATTAAAACAAGAGCAGGAAAATAGATTTTAAACATGAAATCACAGAATGCTCAGTAGGTAACTGGCCTCTAATAACAAACTGATTTTAACTTAGCATGTTTCTAGTTTAGTTTTATAGACTCAAATTACCATGAAGGGAACAAGTGAATGTAGAAATTATTGTGGGCAGGGCTTGTTTTACACTTTGAATGTGTTAACAGTTCTCAGTTATAAATAAAGTCTACACTATAATCAGGTATGTAGTAAGCCAAAAATTCAAATAGCATCTTCCACTAAACATCTATTGTGTCTATACCCAGCTATGTACCAGGTACTATAATGAATTCAGAAGAACACATCAGCTCCAATCTTTGAGCAACCTCTCCATAAGAGAGAGCAAGAATTAAAAGATGACACAAAATAAAGATCTTTTACATAGGCAGACCATACAGATGTAAGCACAGGTTTGCATGATACACGGCTGCTTCTATTTGAGGGTTCAAAAAAGCCATCTGTAATAACTTCTCATACCTATAAAGGAGAGGGCTAGTTTCCACCCACTTTATGGGGCAGACTAAAATAAGAAGGTTAATAAATTCTCATGATCATCTGCTAGTGACTCTGAAAAATTTTTTTCAAAATCAATTTTATTGAGATATATTTACATATAATCAAATGTATCCATTTTAAGTGTGAAGTTTATGAGCTGTGAAAAATGTACAAACCTGGCTAATCACCACTACAAAGATAACACTTGCATCCCTGCAAAAAATCCCCTTAGCTCCTTCACAGTCAATTCTGTCACTACAGCTTAGTTTTGTTTGTTCTAGAATTTCACATAAATAGAATCACACAGTATATAGTCTTTTTTTTTTTCATACAACATAATGCTTTTGAGATTCATCCATGTTGCTGTGTATATTGGTAATTCATTTCTTTTTATTGCCAGGTTGTAGTCCATGGCAAAAATATAAAATAATTTGTTCATTCAACATGTAGATGGGTATTTGAGTTACTTATGATTTTTGGTTATTATGAATAAGACTGTTATGAACATTTGTGTACAAGTCTTTATGTGGACATATGTTTTTATTTCTCCTGAGTATATGCCTAGGAATGGAGTGTTTGACTTTATTAAAAGTGCCACATTGTTAACCAAAGTAGTTGTATCACTTTTACATTTGCATCAGCAAAGTATGACAGCTTAAATTGCTCCACATTCTTGTTAACACTTGGTATTGTCAGTATTTTAATTTTAGTCAATGCTGAAAAGAAAAAGTGGAAACCAATGCTTTGAGAATGCTAATTGCAGAGGCATCTTGGTACATAAGCACTTGCATATTATTCAAGAAGTCAATCAGGGAGTCCAATGAGAAACACTCAAATCCTATCTCAAGATGCCATGGATGAACTAGAAAGATTATTTTTCTCCTTACAGAATTACAGCAAAATAATCCAAGAAAGATCATCTTATTTCCTCCCACTGCAGCACCTTTTTTGGATACCTCCAAAGTATATATAACCCACTCTGAAAATAAGTCTTACAATCATGGACCTCTAACTCTCAGGTTATAAACTGTAATAGACACTGGAAAAAAATTCACACAAAGAAACATTAGTAAAAGATACTGGACATACATAAAACACCCATGCATAGATGCATATTTTGGCAAGCTTTTAAACTCATGATACTTCTCCCCCACCCCTTTTTTCTTAATTTAATGCTTCATGCTATTTGAAGAGTAGTTAAAAATTATTTGCAGACATTGCCCTAATTGGGACAAAGTTTGCCTGCTCAAAATGAATAGCTGGTTTTCATCAACCAAACCACAATGCTTAAAGGGCCTGCCTCCCAGAAAGTGCAGGCAGTTCACACTAATAGCAGGAAGAAGTCTGTCATTACCGGTCTCTGCTTTCACTTCACAGCCTCCTATGTGAGTTGAGCTACAAAGAGGTCATCTCTAGATGGAATAGGAGAAAAGGAGAAACTCAAAATCCTGCTTAGTCTTTTAATGAAGCTGCCATTCCCTCTGTTTGGAATGCCCTCTCACCCATACAATCCTCTTTTCAAAACCAGTGAAGCCCTACTTTTCTTGAAGCTCTTGATTCTCCCAAACAGGTCAGATTCTCCTTACACATGCTTTCACATCACTGTGTTTTTCTTTTTTAACCTTATTAGTTTATAATTATGTTTGTTTTAGTGAGTAACTTGTTAACGTCTATTGCTTCTCCCCCATGAAATGAGGTAAGCTGCATGAGTGTTTCTCATAGCTGTACTCCCAGAACCCAGAATGCTCAGCACATAAAAGGTACTTAATAAATATTTGACTAATTGTTAACTAAAACATTATCAATGATGTGACTGATATGCCTCTAAGCTTCACATAAGTTAGAAAATAAGGGCAGCTGCTTCTTTCTCAATTATGAGAAAAATCAAACTGCAGAAAACTTGGGTGTCAAAGTTGCCTGGCCTTCTCCTGCTCCAATTTCTACTATACCATTTGCTTAAATGTCAGATCTACTTTATCAATCTATCCTCTCAAAATTCAAAGCCACAAAAAGAATGAAGACTTTCAGAACAAAAGATTTTCCTCCATTAGAATGCAACAAAAAAGCAGTTCTCATAGTTTTGGACATTAAACCTGAAGGTCTTGGTAATTTGTAAAAGAAATGCGGTTATCCAATAAGTCCCAGCTCATTATCTTCTATGACCAGGGAAATGGTTATGTTATTTCACTGAGATGAGGCTGTTAGCATCCCCATATCACTCTTGCAGACCTCATGATCAGAAATAGGCAGACAATAGCATATCTCTGAAATGCAAACCAAATTATTCTCTTTCAATTATAGGTATGTACCAGGCTTCTCACCTACCTTTCTGTCAACTACTCATCTACAAGAAATCGCAATGAGACATTGAGAGAATAGAGTTTAAAAAAATTAGAATCACTATGTGTCCATGCTCAGCTGATATTCAGCTCAGCCCAAACACAAAACAAAATTTATTGAAATAGTCATTATTTGTATAAGCAGAACTCTAGAATCTAAATTTAAGAATATGGCAATATTTTTAAGACCTGAGTTTCATTAACAAAATATTAGGACGGTATTAGGAAAGGTTACTTCTTTCTTTCACTTAGTCATTAGATATTAACTGAGCTCCCACTACATGCCAGGCACTGCATGGCACACTAAAGAAATACAAATATCTTCTAACAGTAACCAAATTTTATTAACTTAATCTTTATTTGGGAAAAAGAGAGACCAATGTTTCTGGGTCAATTCTCTCATATTCACTTAAATAAAAGCTTTCTTCTAACCACTGAAAAGTTATTCTTACCAAAGTTCTATATTCTTATTTCATTTAAATCTAATATACAGTCTTTTAAATTTACATGTTCTTTCTGGTAAAAAGTTATTTTTGGCCCATAGTAAATTTTGATAAACTTAAATGATCGGAGGCTTAATTTTTTTAAAGCTAAAAGCCAAAAAAAATAAAATTTTATTCCCAAACCACAATTGAAGGAAATAATAAAAGATGAATTAAAGTAAGCTTAAATCTTCCATTGCCCCATTACAAGAAATATTATCAGAAATATTACAAATGTCCCACACGCTCAGATTAGCATCACCCATAACTACATGGAAAATTTATCCAAATTTTATCTCAAAAATCTTAGTGTGACTCCACAGTAAATCCCACAGATCTCCTACAATCACAAACAGTAAGAGAAAAAAAAAAATCCAACAAAATTCTAAGCTGAATAAACAGATGCCTCTTTCTGACAAGGCAATGGCTGTCAGGCAAAGCAATGACTTGTGAACTAAATTGATTTTCTCACATTCCATAGGTGTCAATATTTATCTTGAGACAAGCCATTGCTGATTATTGGCAACTGTCTAGAAAAAGAAAGCCAATGAAATTCAAAGTGCTAGCAACGACAATTACCCAAATACTAGGAATTGTTCCAAAACAAAAATCCCAGAGGACGGCAAACTCCGTCAGTATCCCGGTGAAGGCAAGTATGGAAAAACAAACGTGGCTGCCAAACCCTTTACAGAAGCTCCTAAATGAACAGAAAAATACATTAAAATTGAACTTCGCTACCTTTCCAATACACGGCAACCTCAAAAATAGAAATGCCACAAGTAAAGAAGGATCAGAGGAAGACAACAGAGAAACAGCGAAGAGGATGGAAGAGCAGACATTACAAAACCTGTGCATATAACCCTCCTGGATACTCAGAATTAACTGTTTTAAAATAGGAGTTGTTTTAATAACATTAATATCTAGTTTTCATTACCTGACAGGCAGATGTAAGTTAAGTATTCGCCTTGACCCCCAGTTGCCAAGAAAGGAATCTTTTTCTTTGTCCTCCTCTTGACTTGGACAGCTCCCAGCATCCTTTCATCAAGAGGTGCAAAAATTTCCTTGCTGATGGCAGATTTGGCACTCATTGTAGAACAAGTGAGGAGGGCACGCAGTGAATTTTCTAAAGAAGAAAAAGAAAAGGAAAGTTGGAATTGATGACATTGTAAGGGCTCATATAAGAATGAGCAGCAAGCTGATTTGCAGGTAAAGTAATTTTCAATTTGCAGTTTAACCTCTTACTTGAAATGCATTATAGAAACCTTAAACAAAGTCTTTATATTTGTAATAACTATGAAAAGATAAAAACAAAAAAGGAATATGTATTTACTCTCTGAAAACGTCAAACACAATGTGAGATGAGCAGCATGAAATGGGATCTAGAAAGCTTGTTCATTTCCACCCCAAGGCAACTTGGACTGACAAGCAGTATCCACCCTATTCCTGTCCTGTAGGGAACAGGATCGCACACTTCCAGCAGAGAAGTCTTTTCACTGCCCAACAATCGTTAAAGTCAAGAAGTTCTTCATACTCCTTCAAAATCTCCTTTAACTCTAATGCATATCCATTTCCCTAATTCTATTCATAGTGGAAATAATTATATCATCTTCTACATAATAACTATACATGCAACAGAAGATCATTAAATTAATACCCTTCTGCTGCCTTTGATTAGGCTAGATAACAAATTCTTATTTATTAGCCTCTTTCAGTGGGCCCTACTTTCCAGTGCTCCTCTGCATCTAGTTGCCATGCTTTGGATCCTTGACAAATAATCCACATTTTCTTCAGCCAAAGTGAACACAGAATTCTAAAAAAGTATCTGACTAATGCTAAGTATTTTGGAAATGTTACCCAGCAGTTCCCGTGTGTTACGCTCCTGTGGTTAACTGGCAGTGGGTGCCCAATAATTAAGAAATAAAGCAGCATGTTGCTGACTCACGGTGAGTCCCTCCAAAACTTACACATACACAGTCCCCATGTTATATTTAGTCTTCTAAAAGATGTACTTCCCTAATGGTCTTAACTCTGCTTATTCGTGTCCATTCGTGTCTGCTTATTCGTGTTCAAGGTCAACTTGAATATTAACTCTGTCATCCAAAAAGCTCAACAGCAACTTGCATAAACTCTATTCCACCATCCTAGTCATAATTAGTCTCTGCCTGAATCACTGACCAATTTTTGTTCAGGCAATTAAAAAATCAGAATTAAAGGTATAGAGAGGGCCCACGGCTTGATCATGCAGGTTGTGCAGAGTACCCAGAGATACTGCATGTGGATCAGGATCACAGCTATATATAGCAATAGCAGCTCAAAGAATTGATCAAATTGCTGTAAAATGGAGTCAACTGGTAAACACCTACTATGTGCCACCTCTATGCTCAGTGTTAGAGATAAAAGAATAATTAAGATAATAATTCTCCAAGAGTTGACTGCTGACTACATCAAAGGTTTCACTTAAATCCAGAAGATTTATGATGAAAGACCGTGGGAATATCTTTTCCAATGCAAGATTCACAAATGCACCCAATACAGCTGTCCGCCTGTAACCCGTCCACATCTGTAGCCTACTGGTAGGAAAGAGATAATATATATTTAAAAAGAGCATCCCTTTGGATAAAGAAATTTCTCCTAGTTTTAATTCTGTAATAGAGCAGGTTTTCCTAGTGGCATCAAGAATATCGATCTATACATACACCAAGAATACATATCTATAGATCTATATATTACAGATCTATACCCAGATCTATTTGTGCTCTGATCACAACATTTTATCATTACTCCACTGAACCTGGCTAAGAACAAAATGAGAACAGTGGAGGGAGACCTGTTTTTCAATGTGCTAGCCACTAACTGATATACTATGATTTCTTTTAAGTTAGCAAACAGAATTTCCCCCATCATGATTTGCTCTATGATTTTCAACTAAGCAGGGTGTTGTAATTTACCAGGGACATTTTTCCAAAAGAGAGAAACACATACTAGTTCTTTTCTAGCTCCAAGGCCTCTCACCTCTCACCATCTGGGGACATGTAAAAAAGAAAGCCAGCGGTAGCTCAGTGGCTTCAAACCATACTACAAGCAACGCAGAAAGAAAGCCACAGTCCCAAACTCATCAGGCGTTCTCTGACCAGCACCTTCCCAACTGGCACGGCTTTTGCTTTTTCGTCTCAGATTCACATTTTTCTAAAACTATAGTTAAAAGAAATAGAAAGCTATCATTTTATTGTATAAAATCTGTCAGAAAAAAAAGAAATACGCATGTTTTCCCAAACTCTTAGGAAATTCTGTTCTTCTTTTGGAAAACTGGTGAGAAATGGAAATGACATTTCCATTTTGTTTTTTATACTGATATTCAGTGACCAAGAACCAAAAAAAAAAAAAAAAAGAGGAAAGATAAAACCAGTAATTTCACTGAACACATATTTTAGAATCAAACAAACTTGGGTTCAAATTATAGCTCCAACATCTATCCCTATGTGATTTATGAGTACATCTCTTAAAATTGCAGATCATCAGTTTACTAACTACAATATGGAGATATCTTCACCTACTTTCTGGGACTGAAGAATTAAATTAAAAAATACACGTAGATCTCTTATTCTAGTGCCTGAATTTAAAAATTTGTTTAAAAGTGGAAAATTTTGATTAACTTCACTACTATGATATGAAAAATAAAAGGCCCTCTGAACTTCTAGTAACTGAGTGAATGTCACCATCCGTACCGGAAGGTATGTGCAAAACTGAAACCCAACTTAATTTACCAAAGCCTCGCTTTTCTCACTCATGGGTATGAGACCCCCCACACATGGATAAATGATCTCTCATATGGAAGGCTCTGTACTAAGTGTCATAAGGATGAGGAATTAATAGGCGTCATCCTCAGGAAACTCAGTAGTAGGCACTCTATGTGAAATTATTGAAAGTTTTTGTTCAGGAGAATGGTATTAACAGGCCTGTGTGGAGCACAAATATGTGTATGTTTTTAATGTCCCCCTGGGAATGGTAATGTACAGTGGGTTAGAAGGGAAAGAATCAGAAAGCAAAAGGAGTACCATTATAGCAATAACTCTGTAGCAGTAACTTATAAGAGTATCCCAAATCTGCTTGTGCGTCTGAAGGTGGCATAGAAAGCTTTTCAAAAACGCAGACTCCTGGGCCCCTCCTTGATACCCACCAAATCAGAATCCTGGGATCTGTATTTTAAACAACTCTGACTTGTTCTCATGCATCCATGCAGTCATCCTGCCACCTAATTTAAAAACTGTTAGTCTAAACAACTGAAGTCTAAACTAGAAAGGTGGTGATGGGAATGCGAAGAATGAATCATTTCAGGAAAGAATACAGGAGTAATGGGTTTTTCCTCCTGATTCAACCAAGCAGCTTTATCAGGTCTTACCTTGTACTGTTGGTTAATCAATGTCCAGCCCATGGCTGAGACCCCACCGCAAGAAAGGAAGAGGAACACAACAGCAATGGTGCACCAATGACCATAGTTACTTCAATCTACGTCACCCCATGGAAGCTTTTTCTTTTCTTGGTCCATAGCTTCTATAGGATATAATTACAAAGCTTTTCTATCCAAGAAACCAACCTACAATATGATTTGCAAGTCAAAGCAGTTGGTAAGCCTTAAGTGTTAGTTGCAAAAACTAATCATGGTTAGTTTTGATCTTTCTCAAGGCCTTTTTCATGTATCTTCTTTTCACTTTTGGCCACCTCATCTATCTATATCCATTTTTTTTAACAAAAATGGCTACTGTACATGGCTACTGTAGTGAGATGGCCCTCCAGCACCCATGCCACCAGGAAATAAGACTGTCCTTTAGAGTGGGAGTTGCAAACTCAAATGACCTCAAGGATCAGGCAGATGAAGCACATAAGTAAAGGAGTACAAGTGTAAAATGTTTTTGTCTTCCAGCATCAACATTTTTGGTTTCCAGTAGTGGAAATGATATTTGTCCTCTGTGGTCAGAAGACCAGGAGGAGGGATAGGGAAATTAAAAATTTCCAGCAAATTAAAAATTGCCAAAAGGCCTTAAATATTTCTCATCTGAGAAGAAAGAACTTCCTCTGGTGAGACAACAATATCATCTATTTAGCTTAACCCTATCAGATTTTTGATTTATCTAACTTCATTAACTTCCCTGTTCTGATCCCATGTTTAACATGCAATCTTCTGACGTTTTGGCCCTGTGGCTGTGCCAACACAAGTATTTTGGACTATCTGACAGTTATACTTCCCATTGTAAATGAGGAACCAGGAATTGTAGATATCAGCCTCATAAACTAGTTATCATGACTCAACACTGAGGCTGATGCACTCAACATGCTGATGTCAAGTTTCAGAGTCTTCAAAGTTAAGAGCCAAGGTGATATTACCCTGGAAGACTTCTGAGGAGAATCAGCTGGTCCTCTCCAGGGCACAGGAACTCTGGTATGTGAACCCAAATAACTTAGAAATAAGAGAAATAAGATTATTTTCTAAAATTGGATTTCTCTGCATTGCCACTTTGTTTTTGAAATTCTACAAATGCAACTTTGACTCTCACCTATAATCTGATGACACTAATCATGCATCTAGCTCAGATTGCCTTCCTGGCTTTAAACTCAGGTAACTAGCTGCAGACTGAACATTTCCACTGAGAGTTAACCTAGATTCCTCCTTGTCCCTCAAACCCCTCAACCTCCCAGTCCTATGGATGTGATTTAATTATTTCTGGACTCTATTATCAGTTTTTCTTTATTCTCACTTCCTCCAGCTTAATTTGGGTTTTCACCATCCCTGGCCTGAATGATTTTGATGCCTCCTGTAAAAGGGTTCCAGTACCACTCCCAATTCACAATCCACCCTCTACACCGTCCAGTATAATATTCTGAAGGATGAATATGAATAACGCTTAACTGTATTTAATTGTTTTTTCTCTATGCCTCGGGTCTTGACAAAGAAACACGATAACCTCAACAAGGAAAAGATCAATGTTGTAAATGTTGAAACCAAAGTAGAGAAATGTTAAATTATCTTGCTTAAACTCCACAGAATACAAATACTAAACGCTACAAGTCATATGTTTTTACACCATCATGAAATCTAAAGATAATCTAAAAACGTTAATTTTGCTC